CAGCCTGTATCCTGCGCCTTGGGAGGCTGAGGTGAGTGAATTGCCTGAGCCCGCGGGTTCGAGACCTGCCTGGGCAACTTGGCGAGACCTCATCTCTACAATAAAAATAAAAAAAATTAGCCGGGCGTGGTGGCACGCGCCTGTAGTTCCAGCTACTTGGAAGGCTGAGGTGGAAGGATCGCCGGAGCCCAGCAGGTCGAGGCTGCGGTGGCCGGGAGCAGCCACTGCACTCCAGTCTGGGTGACTGAGTGAGACTCCAACTCAAAAAAAAAAAAAGTCACATTTTAATAAAGCTTGGTGTCCTTAAAAATATCAATTCCTGGCCAATTGCATTGGCTCACACCTATAATCCCAGCACTTTGAGAGGCTGAAGAGGGAGAATTGCTTGAGGCAGAAGTTCGAGATCAACCTGGGCAACAGAGTAAGACCTTATCTCTACAAAAAATTTAAAAATTAACCAGGGATGGTGGTGTGCACCTGTAGTCCCAGCTACTCAGGACACTGAGGCGGAAGAATCGCCTGAGCCCAGGAGGTTGAGGCTGCAGTGAGCTTTGACCATGCCACTGCACTCTAGCCTAGGCGACAAAGTGAGACTCAGACTCACAAAAAAAAAGGGCCATTTGGATCAGTTTGAGTCTTCTCTTTCTGCCAGGGTTTGCAGGGGTCCCTGACAGTCATTGACTATAGCTTGGACTTTTCTTTTTTTCTAAAGATACTATGCTGGCTGGGCCGACAAGTACCATGGGAAAACCATTCCCATCGACGGAGACTTCTTCAGCTATACCCGCCATGAACCCGTGGGGGTGTGCGGGCAGATCATCCCAGTGAGTGCTGTCCCTCAGAGGTTCTCCCAGAAGTTGTTGGGGTCGGTGGTCTTGGCCAGGCTTGGGACAGAGGTGGAGATTCTGGGGGTGGCGTTGGAAGACAGCCTCGGTGGTGGTGGAGAAGGTGGTCCCTGAGGAGGCCAGCCTGGGTTTGAGCCTAAGACCTTCCACTTGTAAACTGGGTTTCCCCATCTAAAAAGTGGAAGTGAACATAGTGCCTGTCTTAGAGAGGTAACGATTAGAGCTTAGCACAGTGGCACATATATAAAAGCATCATGGGTCACCTCGTCCATTCATCTTAAATGTGTGATTGAGTTGAGGGAGGCACTGAGAACTTGGTGCTGCTTTGGCTCCCTGGGAATGGTGCTTCCTATTACCTGCTGTAGTTCTCTGAGGAAGGTTGGGTTTCAGGGTGCTGGTCTTTATTGCAGTGGAACTTTCCACTCCTGATGCAAGCGTGGAAACTGGGCCCAGCCTTGGCAACAGGAAACACGGTTGTGCTGAAAGTGGCTGAGCAGACACCCCTCACCGCCCTCTACGTAGCCAACTTGATCAAGGAGGTGTGTAACTTGTCCCAGGCTTGCCCCGTAATTGCCCTTGTCTAGACTTGCTCTCTGAACCCCCCATCCCCAGATGAACCCAAGGGGGCTCTCCACCTGCTTTCTACATTGGGCTTCATTGCAGGATCCCCTTTGAAAAATGAAAAGGAGCCGGGCTCGGTGGCTCAGCCTGTAATCCCACGCCTTGGGAGGCTGAGGTGAGTGGATTGCCTGAGCCTGCGGGTTCGAGAC